TCATCGAGACTTCAATTTAAATTAATATGCTCTTCAGTTCTCTGACTTATGATTGCATTTTTTTCATTTCCTTTCTCACACTTTCTTGTTCTGTGCTTGAAATCTGTCCTGCCATCATTTCTTTCAGCTTGTTAAACAGCTTTACCTGGGTCACTCTGAGAGGTTGCAGAGCTGGTGGGTGTTGAGGAACCCTTCCAGACTGTGATCTTCATCCAGGAATTTTGGCCATCTTTTGGGGTTTGATCCCTGGCACCACATGATCCCCTGAGCCCTGCAGGGAGTGACCCGCAAATACAGACGTAGGAGTTTCCCCTGAGAACTATTAGATGTGGAGCCTCCCTCAAAGAAAGAGAGAGAGAGAGAGAGAGAGAGAGAGAGAGAGAGAGAGAGAGAGAGAGAGAAAGAAGTGCATGTGTACTCCTATGCTGCTGCTTCATTGTATCTACAGTGCAGTGAGGGCTGTGGGTGGGGATTTGGTTTTGTGCAGCCTGAGTGGCAATATACAGCTTGGGCTCACACATTCCACAAGGGTTCTCTGCTGCTGTGTTTATGTCACATCCTGCTGTTGAACCTCCACAGCATGAATCTGCACCTTTTAAACAAAGTTTCCCCTGACTCTCCTGGCTCTGTTGCCTTAGTTTGTGGGTTTGGGCTGATAGCTCACCAGTCTCCCTCCCTCCCTCCCCCCTCCCTCCCTCCCTCCCTCCTTTCTGTCCTTCACACACCAAGCCACACCCAGTGATACTCAGGGGTTCCTCCTGACTCTGCACACAGGAATTACTCCTGGCAGGCTTGGGGGACCCTGTGGAATGCTGGGATCAAAACCGTGTGCAAGGCAAACACCTTCCCCGCTGTACTACTGCTCCAGCTATTTTGTCTTATTTTAGGACTCATCTCATTCTGTAACTCGGGTGGATGTGTGCCTGAGAGCATTTGAGGGGAGGGCACTGTCCTTTGTCTCAGCCCCGAGTCACCAGAAGCCAGATGCCTGTCGCTGAAGTTATTAGGAGTAGACTTCTGTTTGTGCCTGTGCTTGCCAGGGTACGCGCCCCTCTCTTTGTTGATCTGGGAGTATGCCGGGCAGTGGACCAACTTCCCGCCTCGCCTTGTGCAGGTGGACACCTCGAAGGGGGGCATTGCAGAGCCTCTGCAGCCCACAGAGATGATGGCACGTGGCGTGCATGCTGCCACAGTTGGCTGCCGGCTGTTGCGCCTCCTTCCAGCTTCCTGGGTCCTCTCCTGGGCCCGGAGCAGCCTTGTTAGCTTACAGCTTCCCAGTCCCTCTGGAGGCTTAGCTGACGATCCCTAATCCTCACTTGGTGGGAGCATGTGAGGGATTCTTGGGCTGTTCCTCCTATTCTCTGCATCTGGGCCCGGCCCCAGCCATGCACAGGCCCCGTTATTTTTGCCCTCTATCCCCATACCTTCCGTCTTCCATTGTTTTCAGTGAAATAAAGGGTCAGGGATTTGGTTCAGTGGGGGGATGCCTGCCTCTCTTGTGTGAGACCCTGACATTCATCCCTTTCATCTCTGTGCACCCTGCATCACCGGGACGACTTCTGGGCTCCTCAGCTGGTCCCGATGAGCCCCGCCCCTCCCCAAGGTCCTTATCGCAGAATATGAGGACAAAGCAGGATTTTTTTTTTTTCGGTCATTTTAATTACATTATGTCTTGAAGTTTTCCAAACAACTTGAAGGAAAACTTCAGATACTCTTCCTCTTAAAGTGATCCCCCAGTTCTGTGACCCTGTCCTTAGTTCTTTTCCTTTTCTTAGTTCTTTTCCTGCTTCTGTTCGGTTTTTGTTGGTGGTCTCCTGCATTTTGTCCTGCAGTGTACTGATTCTTAGCTCCAGCCCTCTTATACCGCCAAGCTCCTTGGGGCCTGTTCTCCGCTTCACCTTGGTCACTCTGAAGTCACCTTAAAGGTTACAGAGGTGGTGGGTGCTGGGGGATGCTCCACACTGTTGTCTCCACGTATTAACTTTGCTCTGCTCTTCCTCACCTTCGCTGTGTCTTCTGCCTAGTGAGGCCTGGGAGTGAAGGGTCTGTTTCTGTGCAGGCTTGAGCAGCCACCTCAGGTTCTAAGGTTCATGCTCCCCACATCCCACCATAGCCCGCAGCGGTGTTTCTGTTGCATCTGAGACGTTGCAGCACGAGTCACACATTGTTCTTGGCGCCTCGCCATGGCCCACTTGCTTCAGTCCTTGATTCAAGCAGCCAACATGCCCATCCCATCTTCTCTTACTCTTCAGATCGTCCCGAGACTGGGTAAATGCCTGCGGGGTGGATACAGGCCTGTTTCCCACCCGCTGGCCCCTGTTGGGGAGAGCCATCACCCAGCCTGGAGTGGTGGCTGGCTGCTGCTTGTCACTGTAGCTCTGCGTCCCACTATGGTCGCAGGCTTGGCTCCAGCGGGGCCCCAGCTCAACCCATGAACCGACATTTTGCCACTGGAGCTTCAAAGGGTCAAGGGAGGCGTTTCAGACTGCCTGTGCCCCTGCTCCCTTGGCCGTGCGCCGTTTCTCTGTGCATTTCCCCACTCTGGATGAAACTGCATCGGTTTCAGAAGCTCTTCCTTGCAAAGCCCTCAGAGCTGGCTGCTGGATACTGCCCCAAGGCTCCTCTGGGGGGGGGGGGGTGGCGACTCAGAATCCCTGGGGCTCTTTGTTTCCTTGCGTTTGGGACCCAGAGTGACTTCCGGTACCCCCTTCTCACCATCTGGGCTCCAACCTCTCTCTCTCCAGCTAATTTCTCTGTTGATTTCTTTGTTGACTCACCTGTTATGTAGAAATATGGTGTTTGCTCTTCACGTGTTTGATGTTGCTCTTATATTTTTAGTTAACAAAATTGTGGGTTCTCCCACATATTGTAATGGACAGTGGTGGCATGCTTCCTCCTGTGCTCATCAGAGGTTGAACATTTGGTCGTGTGGCTCACACCCGTGTTGGTCCTTCCAGGGGTCCATGCTTGGTCATGGTGCACCTGCGCTCTCTGGTCAAATGTTAGCTTGTAGTGCGCATACACACGTGATGGAAGGAGCACTCCCCTGGCCCCAGGAGTCCCAGGCAGCAGGCCTGGAGGGTTTGCAGTCAGCAGGGATGCAGTGCTGGCATCAGATCTGCTGGTTTCTTACCTATAAGGTCTGTCCCTTCACAGATTAAAAATACCTCATACACATGGACTGTGGGCTGGAGTGATAGCACAGCGGGTAGGGCGTTTGCCTTGCACATGGCTGACCTGGATTCGATTCCTCCGCCCCTCTTGGAGATCCCAGCAAGCTACTGAGAGTATTCCGCCCGCAAGGCAAAGCCTGGCAAGCTCCCCGTGACGTATTCGATATGCCAAAAACAAGTAACAACAAGTCTCACAATTTGTTGTGAGATGTTACTGTGCCCACTTGAGCGTATCGATGAACAGTATAGGAGGACAGTGCTAGAGTGCTGCAAATGGACTGTGGGTGATTTTTTGGTTTGTTTTTGTTTTTAATTAAATCCATCCAGCCATTCAGATGGAAATTACTAGGACTATGGAGGAAGGATGAATTATATTCCTCCTTATTACACTATGTTTTAGGTTAAAGAATAGAACGGTAGTCTACTCAAATAATATTCTTTTACGTAAGAAATTAATTTAGTTGCTGTCTGTAACCATTGGTATCTTGCATTAAAAATCCTTGTTTGATCTTTAGAATTAATTTCCTAGCTGAGATAAATAGTTGAAGGTATGTTAATGGTTTATTAGAAACCATTATTTTCTCATTCCATTGCATTTTATTATTTATATTCATTAGTAAGTTTGCAGATAAATTGCCTGGTAGAACAGGACAGCCTGAGGTATACTCGTGTTTCATTCAAGAATGTCCAGAGGCAATACTGAAAATAGAATTTCTTCCTTCCTTCAGTGAGACATAAAGAGATGAGGAAATAAGGATATAGTGCTCCAGTTAATCCCAGCTGCCATAGCAAATGGTATGATTTGTCTTGTAGCCCTGGATATTGGGAGACAAAAGGACAGGGCCATTTCAATCCAGGTGAGGGCTCAGTTTGCAAACCAAGCTACCGGGAAGGAGGAAAGGAAGGAGATGGATCTGACATTTCCTCTTACAATGACATTAATTGAGTTAATCACCCAGCATTTCCTTTTATAATGGCATTAATTTTATCAGCGAGCTCTGCTTTTATAAGCTCATTCAATCCTAATGTTCCCCAGTGGCCCCTTCTCCAAATGCTATCATGTGGGCTTTGGGGCTTCAATGTATGAATGGGGCTAGTGGAGTAGGAAGGGTCATTTAGTCCTCAGCAATACTTTAGGTTTTTTTCTTTTCTGTTTTTGTGACTTTTTCATCTCTCTCTCTCTTTTGGCTTTTTTTTTTGGGGGGGGTCACACCTGGCGATGCACAGGGGTTACTCCTGGCTCTGCACTCAGGAGTTACTCCTGGCGGTGCTCAGGGGACCATATGGGATGCTGGGAATCGAACCTGGGTTGGCCGCGTGCAAGGCAAATGCCCTACCTGCTGTGCTATCTCTCCTGCCCCTCTCTTTTGGCTTTTTGGGTCACACCTGGCAAGGCTCAGGGACCATTCCTGGCTCTGCACTTAGGAATTACTCCTGGTGGTGCTCGAGGGACCATGAGGGATGCTGGGGATCAAACCCAGATCAGCTGTGTGCAAGGCAAATGCCCTCCCTGCTGTACTCTCTCTCCAGCCCCAACTTTTTCATATCTTAATTAATTAAGAGGTTGGTTATTTCAAAAATGCTTTGGAAACACTTCCTAGAGTAGGAAAGATTATTCCTCCCTTAAGTTTTACATGTGACTGTGGTCACCAAATTAAAACTTAAATGCCATTTAATACATTCCAGATACTGTTGTCTCTTCACAGATTATGTTACTCTGTCTTCCGTAAAACTTTTCTGCCTTTTCCACTTTCTCTCTCCTCTCCTAGAAGTCTTTTCATGGTCATTGTTGTGTTGGTTTTAATATGGACTCTTCTTTTTCTGCAGGTGGAGACCACGTGGCTTTGCAAGACCAGAATTAATGAAGATTTTACGTGACTCACTGGATGATTCTTTTAAACGCCTTATCTGTCCTCTCCTCTGTAGAGAATTCAGGTGTGCATCTTGTCTTACATAATTTCGTGTGCTGTTTATTACTCTGTATGATAATAAGCCCATTAAAGCATGTAACAGATGTGTATTGATCCATTAGTCCAGTAGAATCACAGTCTTAAATTTAAGCTTAGATTTTAATCTGCAGAGATAATCACAAACTTAGATCATAAAACATAGCTCTTTGTATGATACACTTTTCAAATCTTGGCCATTTGGGGATGGAGCCTTAGTACCATGGATAAGGCATTTGCCTTGTGTATGGCCGACCCAAGTTTGATTCCTGGCATCCCATATGGTCCCCCATGCACTGCCAGGGGTAATTCCTGAGTATAGAGCCAAGAGTAACCCCTGAGCATGGCTGGGTGTGATCCCTAAAACCAAAATAAATAAATAGATAAATAAATAAAAATCTCAATTATTTAAAGTATACCCCAGTCAGTTCTGTTATATCTGTATTGTAATGTAATGGTCAACCCAAACAAATGGTTTTATGTATGAGAGATATGACTTGGGAAAAGTAAACTGAGGAATTAAAGGAAAAATTAGTTGGTGGCAGTTTTTCCAGGTTAAAGGAGCCAAAAAGCACGTAAGGAAACCAGAGGAGCAGATGATGAATTTATTACTATGAAGAGAGAGAAAGCTCATGAATGTTTTTGACTCCAGCTGGGAGTTGTTTGAATGAGTAATTACTAGCCATGATGAGCCGATATTGTTAAAGTGGGCTTCTAAGTTGCCCAGAAGGACAAAGGGGAGAGATGATCTTCAAGGTCTTTTCAAAAAATATTTTTATTGTTGTTGAGATAACATGGTAGCACTACAGTTACTACCAGTACTTTTGATATACAGCTTTACTACACCTCTCCCGCCTTCTGTCACTTCTCCATACCCCGTTGCCCTCCCACCACTTGTTAAACCTTAGGTCTGTGGTCCCAATCCAAGGATTTATTTTCACTGAATACTGTGCATTTCCTTACTTGGTTTCATTCAGTAGTTGTTCTTTCTCTGAATCACGTCATTTAACCTGATACCCTCTAGGTGTGTTGGGTTGCTTTTGTACCATCCATTTTCTTGTGACTGCTGGTGCGCGCGTGCACGCGTGTGTGTGTGCATGCGTGTGTGCGTGCGTGTGTGTGTATGTGTTTGGGGTGCTGCTCAGGAATCATGGACTTGGGGGACCAAATGGGGTGCCAGTGATCAAAGCCATGTCAGGCATATGCAAGACAAGGATCTTACCCACTATACTATCTCTTTGGCTACAGGAGATGATGTTTTAAGCAATTTTTGGTAAGTAGATGAATAGTAAAAAGCTTATCTTCCAAGTCCTTTATTGACATTTTTATTCTAGCAAAAGTTTAAAAATCTGGCTTCTAATATTGTGTGAATAAAATTTGACTTGTTTACATGAAGCATGGTTCTTAATGATGATCAGTATCTATGCTCGTAACACATCACTGTGAGAATGACAAAGGAGTAAATATAGGAAATGGAATAGAGTGAGGAGATTATATGCGTATATGGTAAAACTGTTGATGGAGGAGGGTACTTATGATTTAGTAATTTATCACTGTAAGTTCGTGTTTATATTTTATTTATTTTTTAAATTATTTTAGTTTTTGGGCCACACCTGCTAATGCTTGGACTACTCCTGGCTCTGCACTCAGGAATCACTGCTGGCAGTGCTCAGGAGAGCATATGGTGGGAATAGAACCAGAATTGGTTGCATGCAAGGCGAGCCCCTTACCCACTATGCTGTCTCTCTAGCCCTACATATGTATATTTTAAACCAGCTGATAAACCTAGTTTGGCCTCCCTTTTGATATGTTCAAATATCTATGCATTGTCTCATATTCAGAGAGAGCAATTGAGATTTTGTTTACACGAGAGTATATATAGAAGAATATATAGAACTTTTCATAGGAAACAGTTGACAGAAGAAGGAAGCTGGTAGAACACACTTGTTAATTTTGCTCCAGAATGGTTTGCGGTATCATGTATGACTGCAGTTAGTAAAAAGAGATTCAACATAGTTTTTAAAGTTACTGGTGTATCTGGTGTATAATAATACCACAGGGGACAGCTGTGTAGAATGAACTTTGTTCTGTTTTCTGGAAGAAAATTAGGGTAAATGAAAAAAGTAACTAAATCCTTTTTTTTTTTTAAATACTTCTTTACTTTTCTTAAAGAGCCAAACTAACATCTGATGCAGAGAAGGAGTCAGTAATGATGTTTGGACGGAACCTTCGTCAGCTCCTGTTAACTAGCCCTGTTCCTGGCCGCACTTTGATGGGGGTGGATCCTGGTTATAAGCATGGCTGCAAAATAGCGATCATTTCTCCTACAAGTAAGCGTATCTTCCAGCTATTTTACATAGAAGTTGTTTTTCAGTCCTCATTTCCACATATCTCAGGAGGATTTGTCAACATTATTATTTTTCAAGGTTTCAAAATTTTTTTTGGGAACCAGAGAAGCAAATCATGTTTGTGTTACTTGTTGCTTGAATTATTTGACATATTTCTACCAGTTATATCTAACCATTTTTCACAGTGGCAATAATGATGATTAATTATATAGAAACCTTATTTATTTATTTATTTTTGCTTTTTTGGGGGGGAGGGCACACCTGGCATTGCTCAGGGGTTACTCCTGGCTCTGCACTCAGGAATCACTCCTGGTGATGACCAGTTGCCCCCACGAGCGGCTCTCCGGCACGGCCATGGCCCCAGAAGCACAAGGACTTAACACAGAAAACCAGCAGCTTGGAGCAGAAAAGTGAACGAACTATGCGTTAATCCAGGCCATCTTGCCTGCCCGGAGGGGAAAGGGTGTTGCCCCATTTGCCCTCTCCTCTCTGGAAAGAAAGATGGTGGCCGCACCCAAAAGGAGAGAGAGAACAAAAGGGAATGCCCTGCCAGAGGCAGGGTGGGAGGGGGTGATGGGGGGATATTATCCTTGGTGGTGGAAAATGGGCACTGGTGGAGGGATGGGTATATGATCATTGTATGACCGAAACCCAAGCACAAAGATTTGTAAGTCTACAACTGTACTTCATGATGCTTTCCATATTAGATTGAACTTCGTTCCATTTTTGTTTCATATCTAACATCTCCAGAATTTTTAAATGTCTTTTTTAACATCTGCTCTCTTTAGCTGAGATTTTCTTTAACTTTCATTACACTGAATCCGCTTAGCTAACTTAAGAATTTTATGCTTTACGGTGTTGCTTATAGGATGATTCTTTTGATGGGGGTGGCGGGGGGGGTTGGATTTTTGGGACTCATGCAGGGTTGCTCAGGGCCTATTCCTGAGTTTGTTCTCACTGGACCTTTTGTGATACTGAGGATAGAGCCAGGGTCAGTGTGTCCAAGGCAAGTGCCTTACCTGCTGTTCTATCTTTTCAGCCCGCAGACTGTATTTTAAAACACAAACTAGATCCTTGCTCTCTTATAATGTGGTTAACCAAATCATCTGTGTGTTATGTTTTATAATTTCTTATAAAATGACTTCTTTCTTTCTTTTCTTTTTTCAAGGTCAGATACTTCACACTGATGTGTTTTACTTGCATTCTGGACAAGGCTTCCAAGAGGCAGAGAGAATAAAGCGGCTTTTGCTGAATTTCAAGTATGAAAATCAGTAATCTTTTGCTGTTCTCTAGTGACTCAGCCAAGCAGAGACCTTTAGTGTGGAGGGAGGGATTAAGGGAAGTGCCTTGGGGAGGCCGAGGAAGCATGCAAATCATGCTTGCGAACATTGCTGGAAAACTCTACATTTGGGTCTTTCAGAGGAATGCTGCTTTCTACCTCTGTGCCCTCCACTGATGGTAATCAGATGGTAATCTGAGCAGATGTGAGCTCTGAATTCTTCTGTTTGCATAGCACATAGCACCCCCCTCCCACTCCCAACCCAGGATGGAGGAATAGAGGTGGTTGTTGTTAGAAGCTTCAGAAATTATCTGAATATATATTCTATAATTCTGACATTGTGTTTTTTATTACAACGCTCCAGGGTTTTACATGCTGATGTCTAGTTTTGTTTCCTTTTCGAAAAGAAGAAAGTCCACTTTCCTTAAGTGTGACTAAAATACTTCTTCCTGTCTCTTACACCAAGTTTAAGGAAGAGTCATTTACAAAGCTACAGAAGTTCGTATGTTCATGGTGAAAGAATGGGAGGTTGTTTGGCTTCATGAGCAAATCAGAGCAATGCGTAGTATCTGTTGTGTATCCCGTACATTTTCTCTTGATGGCTTGAACTCACTTTCTCATCCTGTTTGTCCTTTAAAGCTGCAGCACAGTGGTCATTGGAAATGGAACTGCCTGCCGGGAAACGGAAGCTTACTTTGCTGACCTGATAATGAAAAATTACTTTGCACCACTGGATGTTGTTTACTGGTGAGGATGTGAAAATATTTTTCTTGGAGAGGTATAGAAAATTCTAAAGTTCCCTTCGTGATGAATTCTCCCTTCTTTTTTTAATTACGAATTTGGTTTGCTTCCCCAAATCACCTCTTCCTTGTCCAAAGATATTTAAATGAGACTGTATGTGTGTTCCTATTGGAGGAATTTAGGTTTCTGCATCCTGAAACCTTCCACTGAAGCAGCAAGTCAGGTCTCGTGTGATTTCATGGGGTTTTCCAGATTGTATTTGATGTGAGCGCTGGAATAGCAGTTTGCTAGTAGGATAGCTACCTGCTGTAAACTAGATGACATCCTCTTTCTCCCAAAATCCCTGGCTTTCCATACTGAGAGCCATCATCATATTATAAACTGGAAACATTTCTGATGTTCCTTTCTTACCGTCTTTTCAATCTATTGTTTAACTTTTAATGACTCTGGATGGTCGCAATTGAATTTCTCTACTTGTGGTCTTAGATCTGCAATAGTTTTGATTTTGCTGATTTTTGTTGCTTCACTTTTTCTTTCACCCTCAAAGAATCCTGTTAATCCTTTTCAACATATTCTCTGAAAAGATTTGATTCTTTTAAATTAAATAGTTGGGGGGAAATAGTGGGGAGAAATAGTTATATGACTGATATCAGGGAGAAGGAGCACAGGGGCCATCTCCCCCTGCTTGTTGACAAATGTAAGAATGATCTATGGTTACCTAATGATCACATGACTGACAGAATCAATAAGACAAAAATCTACCATGCTAAGAATTCCAGAATTCCTTTAGCTAGGTCAGAAAAATTTAATGGAGTATTTATGTGCCTGGAGAATGATCAAGATACCAGGCAAACTTACGTTACCAAAGGAGATTGGAAAGTCAAGTTGGAGTATCATGGGCTCAAGTATCAGTAGAAGCCCAGATAGAAAATCCCTTGGTTTTTGGTCTCTTGCTCTATTTGTTCGCGTTTGTCAGTGGAGTGTTGTGGTTTAGCTTGTTCTTGGAATTGCCTGCATATACCCAGTACACTGACCTGACAGAAGTGATTCCATTTTTTTGAGGGAGTTACCTGATTTCTCTTTAGCATGCTCACATTTTAGTTTGAGAATATCTTGAATACTTTTATAATGAGTCAAATAATAAGAAACATTAGTAGCTGCCTCTTGGATTTCATCTGAATGTGCTTATTGCATATTGCTTTGTTGGCTTTCAGCGGTCAGTTGCAGTATATTAATCCATGTGCTCCAGCCCCACGGGTGACTGCCTCAGCCTTCTGTTTTTTAAAAACAGAAGCCAGGGTAGTACAGTGGGTAAGGCGCTTGTCTTGCGTACTGCTGACCTGGGTTCAATCCCCAGGATCCCATATGTTTTCCTGAGCACTGCCAGGAGTAATTCTTGACTGTAGATCCAATCCCCTAAGCATCTCTGGGAGTGCCCCCAAGTAAAACAAACAGAACAAAACAAAGCAAACAAAAAATAACCCCTCTAAAGAGCAGGAGCCATATCCAGCCTGCTGGTGTGGGCTGACAGGTCAACCTTCTGGCCAGTGGCCTCTGGTACCTTGGGCCGCCAGGGCTATACACCTTGGTATTCAGGGGACATGAGGAGCCGGGAATTGAATTCAGGACTCAGATATGCTGACCGTATGCTCTATCACTTCCTGGTGATTTGCTTCTGATCCATTGGAATCAAATACCTGATGTACATAGAAGTTGTTTCTGAACCACACCTGATGGTACTCTTTCTATGCTCAGGGTCAACTACTGGCTTTGTGCATAGGGATCTCTCTTAGTGGTGCTTAGGCGGTCATGCATGGTGCTGGGCATCAAATGAGGGTTCACTGTATGTTGGCAGGTCCCTTATATTATCTCTCCAACCCCTCTGCTCTTTGACATCTTACAAATGAAATCCTATGGTAGTATTTTTAAGGCACACTCATGTTATACCATATCAGCACTAAGGACTGAATAATACTCTGTTATATAGATACATCTACTATAAAGACATGCTGTGTTTTACTAGATATTATATAGAGATACCACATTCTATTCATTTACCTTTTGGCAAGACATATATTTGCATTGTTTTAACGTAGTTGTGAATAATGCTACTTTGAACAAGTTTGTGCAAGTCTGTTTGAGCATAATCTTTTTATTTCTCTGTATAAATGCATGAGATAGATATGCTGGCTTAAGCGGTTAGACTATTAGACTGTGTTGAACATTTTAAGTGGCTGCTAAACTTTTTTCAAATATGGGTGTACTATCTTTCCTCCTGTTAGCAGTGTATTAAGATTCTGATTTTCCCACATTCTCACCAACATTCCTTATTTATTGGCTGTCTTCGATCACCACCATTCTCGTGGATTGGAAATAGTAACTCAGTGTGGTTTTAATTTGCATTTCCCTGAGACTTAGGATGTCAAAATTACATGCACTCATTACATGTACTCATTTTTTTTCTTTTTTTCATTCTCTCTCGCCCTCTTTACATTTTTTCCTTTTTCAATCCCTCCCTCCCTCCCTCGGCCCCTCCCTCCCTCCCTCTCTCTTCTCTCTCTCTCTCTCTCTCTCTCTGCCATACTTGTAGTGCTCATCTATTCCTAGCTTACTCCTAGCTCTATGCTTAGGGATTATTCCTGATGGGGCTTGGGGTCATATGGGATGCTGGGTTTGGAACCCTGCTTGCCCGCATGCAAGGCTAGTGTCCTTTCCACTGTACTATCTCTCCAGTCTCTGCTCATCACATATTCTTTGGACATGCCTTTTAAAACTTTTTTTTATTTTTTAAAATTTTATTTTTATCAAGCTGCTCACAATATTTGATTACATTTAATATTTGAATATCAATCCCATTACCATTGTACCTTTTCACCACTATATTTCCATCCTGAACCCCAAACCCTGCCCCCAAAGCAGGACCGAAATAATTTATTTTGTATTACATGTTATGAATAATCTGCTAAAAATGAACCAAAAAAGGTTTCTTAGAGGAAAGTGTGTGAAGATTGTTGTATTTCACGCAGGAGCCATTAAGCCCTTCTGTATGAGATTAGTAACATAAAGGTTAAAGGTTGAGCCTTGTGTGCCTGTATCTATGTCTGTATAAATATATTTCCTCCTAAGATTGGTTGTCTTCACAATCAAATCTGGTGTGCTACTCTTGGTGTATTGGTCGTGTACTGTGTGAGATGTTCAGGCATAAGTTCAATCCTGGGTGAGGCCCATCCGAGCATGTGGAAAGCGGCTGTGAGCCTGGTGGCGGTTGAGTTCTGGAGGTTTCTGGCTGCCAAGGCTGGCTCTTGGACACGTCATTTGAATCTTGTCCATTTATAATTTCTACTGTTTTATTAATCATTAAAGTTCTCTCTGTATTGTGGATATATCAGCATATGATTTGCAGTTTTCATCCTAGTTTTGTGGGTTATCTATCTGTTTTGTGTCTCTCTCTTTTTTTTTTTTATGTAGGAGTATTGCTATTTATTCAGCCATTGATTAGGCTGATTGAATTGGGCATGAACTCCACCTTACTTTTTTTTCTTTTTTATAATTTTATTTATTGAATCACCATGAGAGCAGTTACAAAGCTTTTGGGTTTAAGTCTCGGTCATACAGTGAAACACCTGTGCCTTCACCAGTGCCCATTTTCCACCACCAAAACTCCCAGAATAACCCCCATCCCAAACTCTCCCCCTACCTGTGGGGCAGATGATTTCTCTGTCTACTTTGATTACATTCAATATTTCGACACCAGACCCACCATTATTATTTGGGATTTTACCCCAACACTCGGGTCTGCCGAAAATACAACAGTAGACAATTTGTTTTCTATTGTTGGTTATGAATAACATATGATGTCACATGGCCACAGTAGTGGCCACGCGATTTTGGAATTCCAATATTTTCACAGTTAAATTTGGAGGAATTTCTGCCCAAACCTGCTGGGTTCTGAGATTTGTTCCTGAGTCTCTTGGATCATGATCGTTAAGCAGCTTGATCAAGAGCCAGAGAGGCCGTTCGTGGGCAGCAACCCGGGGTCTCGTTGGGGCGGGGAGGAAAGGGCTGGCTCTACCCCATCCCGTGAGGCCCTGAAATCGCCACTATTCGCCCAAACCTGACTGTCCAGTGGCCTCTAGAAGATGATGGCCACTGAGCCACCAACGTGGAGCAGGCAGAGGGACAGCACCCTTTCCTCCCTGGGGTGGCCCAGTGACAGTAATGTACTGTGGGGTCCAGATGCATTTCTGCCAAAAGCCACTGGGTTTTGAGATTTGTTTCTAAGTCTCTGGAATCATGGCCATTAAGCAGCTGGATCAGGAGCCAGAGAGGCCATTCGTGGGCGATGATTTGGGGTCTTGTTGGGGTGGGGAGGACAAGCCCGGCTCCACCCCCATCCTGTGAGGCCCTGGGTATCTCATCACTGTGGGACCAAACCTGACCGTCCAGTGGCCTCTGGAGGATGGTGGCCACTGAGCCGCCAGGGGGAACAGGCCAAGGCACAAAACCTATTCCCACCTGGGTTGGCCCAGGGCCGGTAACCTACTGCAGGGACTGGACGCATTTCTGCCAAAAGCTGCTGGGTTCCGAGATTTGTTTCTGAGTCTCTGGGATCATGGCCCTTAAGCAGCTTAATCAGGAGCCACAGGCCGTTCATGGGTGGTAATTTGGGATCTCATTGGGGCAGGGAGGAAAGGGCCGGCTCCATCCTTGAGGCCCCGTGTTTCTCGTCATGGCAGGCCCAAACCTGACTGTCCAATGGCCTCTGGTGGATGGTGGCCATTGAGCCGCCAAGGAGGAGCAGGTCGAGGGACAGTACCCTTTCCTCCCTGGGGTGACCCAGCAACAGTAACATACTGTGGGGTCTGGATGCATTTCTTCCAAAAGCCGCTGGGTTTTGCAATTTGTTTCTGAGTCTCTGGGATCATGGCCATTAAGCAGCTAGATCAGAAGCCAGAGAGGCCGCTCTTGGGTGGTGATTCAGGGTCTCGTTGGTGTGGGGAGGAAAG